ATGTTTTTGCGAATTATATTAGATTTTTATTATTAATAAAATTATAATATTTAATAAATTTAATAAATATAATATATTAATTTTATATGCTTATTTGACTAAATTGGTACCAAACTGAGGCCAATTTTAGGCTGATTTATAGTTATTTAAATTCTGAATTAATACTGAATGATGCTGAATTAAGATCAATTATAGGCTGATTTATGATTATTTAAGTTCTGAATTGATGCTGAATAATGTTGTATTGAGGTCAATTTTAGGCTGATTTATGTTATTTAAATTCTAAATTAATGCCAAATGATGTTAAATTAAGATTAATTTTAGGCTGATTTATGATTGAATTTAAGTTTTAAATGGTTATATCTGATTGGAGTTAATCAGCATCTATTAGCATCTGAATTATTGCTGAATTAAAGATCAATTTTAGGCTGATTTTAGTTAAATTTAAGTTCTGAATTAATGCTGAATAGCCATGTCTAATTGAAGTTGATCAGTATCTATCAGCACCTATTTGTGCTGATCAGTAAATATGACAAATTAGCCATAAATAGTATCAAAATTGACCTAAAATCAGCCATCTGATTTTTAGCCGATTTGGATTATTTCAACCATTGAGATATCAACTGACCCATATCGATCTTTAATATTAGTATAGAATTTATTAAAAAAATCTTTAAAAATTTTAGCATTGAAATTATCATGATAGTCAACATGATTTATAATAATATTAGAATTTTGAATGACTTCAGTAATATTATCTCAAGTATCAGTATTGATACATTTTCTTCTCCTTGATGAAAGTAAATTAATTGATGAATCTCATAATAAAAGAAAATTAAGAATAATTTCACTAAAGAGTTTATTAGAGTTACCATTATGCATTATGATTATTACACTAAAAACGATAATTAAAGAATTATGTCTAAGTGAATATATAACTCTATGATTTGGCATCCAAGTACAATTTGTAGTATAGTATAAATAATAATAAGATTTATCTAAAAACACTTCTAGCATAGTAGGAACTTTATTTCTATTTTGCAAATTTTCAAACTGACATCATAAATAGCAGTTATAAAAAATAACATTTTGTGATAATTTATGTAATATATTTTGATGTTTGCTATGATTATAATAATATCTTAAAGTATGAAATAAATGAAGTAATTGCCATTTTGAAAGTATATGACTATTTTTCTCAAGTTTTTGTTTTAATATATATGTTGAAAGTAGAAATTAAAAATGTTTATAGATATAATAAGACTACGTATAAGCTCAACAATATTACAGTCAAGTCCTTTCTTTGGCTGTCTATGGATTTTTTATGAAAAAGCTTTATTTTTATTATATTTAGCAACCATACATCCAACTGTTATTTTTCTAACATCAAGAACTGTGGCAATCTTCTTGTATAGTGTTAAGTTATAATATTACTTCTGGTATTATTAGATATTTAAAAAATATTGATGAACACGAATAATCATTTTTTTTTATTATTAGTTAGAAGGCCTTGATCTCATTCCAATTCATCCATAGGAAACAAAAAAAGTTAATTAGTTAAAAATCTTAAAGTTTAAAACTATTCTCATCTTATATCTAATTTGTATGCCTATATAACTTTATTGTCAAATTTTGTATAACAAAAGAAAATCAGATAATGATCTTTATATATCAACGTTTTTGCATCAGAATAATATAATTATATATTTATCTTTATATATATATATTTTAAATTTTTGCTAAATTACGTTAATAAATGTATTATATAGTTTAATATTATAAGAATAGTTTTTTTACATATAGATACTTGTTAATAAAAAAGAAAGAAATCCAAAATTTGAATATAACTTAAAATGAAAAAACATAATTAAAATAAAAATAATTAGTTGTGTTTCAATTATCAATTTTTGCTTATTTATCAAAAATATTTTTGTATTATATTATTTTTATTTTTAAAATGATTAGTATAATGTATTAAATAGAGAATAATTTGTTAATAGAAAGAAGAAAATCTATTTTATTGATCAAATTTAAATTTAGATTTTCTTTTTTTTTAATAATAAACTTATCTATATTTTAATTTATGAAATATTAATATATAAAATCATATATTTAAGTTTTTTTTAATTCTAAAGGATTGTTATTATTATTACTTTTACCTTTCAATTTTATTAGATAAAATATAAATATTTTATAAAAAGTTCTTAAAATAAAAAGAAACTTAAAAGCTTATTTATATACTGTATATATTTATTTTATTTTTTATAAAAAAAAAATTTTAAAAACAAATTTATTTGATTAATTAAACTTTATTAAATTCATAAATTTTTTTAGATTTTAAAACTTGAGATTTATAACAGCATTCATCTTTTTTATAAGGATCATGAACATACTTCTGAATCTATTCATAAAGATACTACTATCATTTTATATTTAATCTTTTTGCTAAAATTTCATTAGGAAATTTTGAAGTAATTGAAGCTTTATCTTTTTTTGTGATATTAATTGCTACTTTACTTTTGTTAACTTCAAGTTGCATTTTAATTATTCTAATTTTATCTATTGAAAATAAAAAGTGATGTTGTTTAGTAATATTTTTTATATTTTTTTGTGTTGATATTGGGTAAGATCCAAAACCTCATATATAAATAGAAATTGCCAAAAAAAAAAATTCATTTATAAAATATGAATATTTTTTTTTTTTAAATAATTTAAACAAACATTTAATAAGTAATCAACTTTACGTTTATTTAAGAAAGCAATTAAAAAAAAATTTTTTTACTGTTTATATTATTGTAAGCATTAAATCAAAATTAATTAATAGTAGAATTTTTGTCATAATTTGAAAAGTTTAAATAAATTTCGTTTTTTAGATACCAATACCATTGATTATTGTTTAATAAATTTCATTCGCCAAGTTCTATTATATAAAAAGTTTATTAATCGCCCGAATTCTTCTCTCGTTCATGCCTTCTATGTTGCTGAGCAACAGGGTTGTTGTTAAATCCTGTGTATGTAAACGCAGCCTGTAAACTACTTTGTTGGGTAGCCATCGTGACACAAGCAGGTGCAAATATGGCTTTAGATAATTTATGTTTCCAGATAGTTTGTCCATCATAAATATTAATTTTATATAGTCTTTTACCACATCCGACCAGAACTGCATCAGGAGCTGATGAATCTAACATAAGGCAAGGCAATTCATAACCGGCACCCTTCAACTCGTTTTTCCAAAGTGTCCCTCCTAATTCAGGGTCTATTCCACATACTTTTCCGAAAGAACCGACTAAAACAACAGAACCTTGAGGCTTATATGATGATGCGTTTGAATTTGAATTTGAATTTGAATTTGTGCTGGTAACAAGTACCGATACTTCGCTCCACCACATTGTTGATAGCGGGTTATTCCAGATCACTGCTCCATCAGCCAAGTTCAGGGCGATTAAATGGCCATTCATCCCGACATAGACTTTATTATCAAAGACGAATAATGCTCCAACACCGTATCCTACACCGGAGAGCTTAGAGTTCCACACTCGTGTACCGTCTGTTTTGTTGATAGCAAATACTTCTCCCGCTGTAGAACATACAAGTAAATTTTCTGGTGATGATGTCATAATTATATAACAAAAGAGTTTGAAGAATCGAATGGTTATAACTAGCAAGTATTTATAATATTATTTAACTTCTCTCACGCGACCCTGTTAGGTTAAGATGATCTACTCCGAATGGTTTCACATGCTTTTAGATTCTTTTTTAGAACGAATTGAAAAGAAAAAAAAAAAAAATTTAATTTATTCTCATTTATAAATGGTATCCTTACATATTGATCGACAGTTTTTGATGATTTCCTATTTTGGAAAGTTGTACACTTGTTATTAAATAATATTACTAATAAATAAACAAAAAAAAAAAAAAACTACGAAATAGGATTTTATTAAAATGTTGTGACTTTGTTATGTATATATATACAACAATGATTAGAAAATTTTGGTTTGTAACATACTTTTCCCAATAAGAGTCTCTGAATTCTAATAAATGCCTCCTCCTTTAACGAGGAAAAGATCAACGACTAAAAATCGAATCTGATTTTTTTTCCATTGAACTTTCAGAAAATGTACCTATTTTTCGAGAATTTGCTACACGAAAAAAAATACAAGCCATAACAATCCCTATTGGTAAAATACCAAAATCAAAGTAGATTAAAATATCTTGGAAATTAATTTTCCTACTCCAATAACATACTTTGAATGCTATCAATAATACCCAATATGTTCGAGAGACCATGAACCACCAAATTCATGATTTGTATTAACATTATCAAAACTCCTAATGCACGTTTGATTGGGATGTGCAAAACACAAAATAAAATCCTCAATTTGTCTTTTGAAATCTTTAAATTACGCCACAATTCAAATTTTTTTGATACGAACATGGTTACACAAGTCGAATATTAACGTTTTTTAATAACTTTCAAACTAATATTAATTGATAAGATTTGAATTGGCTTTATGACGAATTATCACATCGATTTATTTTAGAATATTCGAGTTTCCTAAAAAAAATCCTATTCGTTCATCTAGTTTAATTTTTCTAAAATTATCGATATATTATCGAATCTTGTAATAATTCAGTCATTAATGACTTTTTTTTATTTGTGATTAGTCTATACATTGATAAATAGAAAGCTCGTCCCGTCGTTTATATAAACGCGACTGAAGAGAAATTTTATAGAGGCTTGCTTAAATAAATTACATTTAAGTGTTAATTATTTTCTGCTAACTTATGAAATGGTCAATGCAAGCATTAAATATATTATTTTTAGAATATCTCTGCACTAAGAAATCATCTATTTGAGGCACCTCTCAAGAGAATTCATTATATCAAAAATTATAAATGACTTTTTCATTACGCTTGTTCGAATAATCTAATTTTCTGTTTATATTAAGTTCGCAGTTCAATTCATGGACAATCTAATTAAATTAGTAAAGGCCGAGACATAATATTTCTGTGCCAGTTCTACAAACTGTATTACATTTCTCGTTAATTGGATTCTAGCAGATTGGAAAGTCAACTTAACACGTCAACAGGTCATTTGATTTGTTCACAAAGCGCGAAAGGTTTGGCTTCTAGAATGCACTGTTTATTTTATTAAAAGAGAGAATGCTTCATGATGATTTTATAGTATACTACAATTAAAGCTCATTGACCGACTTGATTTTTGATTTTTAATTAATTTTTACACAAACTTTAGAATAAAAGTCACAATACGTGTTTGTATTGACCTCTTGTATGAAATTCTCCCGCGGATCTAAATAGTAATAACACCGAAAGTAACATTGTCTCTTAACTTTTATTTCATCCCCAAAATAAATGAGCAACCGATCACCCATGAAGTTTATCGGAACAGGTTTATTACAAACAAATAAATAACAAAGGTTTAACGTTAACTATTCTGGAATCGTTATTTTCTTTTATACTCCAACCAAAAAACGTTTTGTCTGGAGCAAAATAACCGGTTGCCAATGCATTTTCCTGTGAAGAAATTGTCAAAGCGGGTAATGATGGACAGTGACCTTTGAAGTTTAACTTTATATGTCGTTATATGGGATTTAAGGGCTTCATTTTATCTTGTCTAGTTGTTTTTGGTTTTAATTCTTCCTTATTAATGCTGCTAATCATTAACATCAAGCGTAATATAAATTTATTGCGAGTTCACACATCTTCCATCGTGTAAAGGTCTATAATAACAGAGAAAATTTTAGAACCGGATGGATTTATCTACGACAAAGAATTGACTAGTAAGGCTTATTTTAGATAGGTATCATCCTATTTTTAAAGATTCATCCAGTAATATGTAACTTTATTTTTTATAAAAAAAAAAAAAAAATATCGCAAAAATAGAAAAATTTATTATTAATATACTTTATAGTTACTTACATTATAGAAAGGAGTTTAATTAACTCCGAAATCCAAATCCGAAACCGAAATCTTTTCCGAAAATCCTAAACTTCCTCCGAAATATATTTCTCTTCCGAAACTCCGAAACTAATTTCGGATATTTACTATAAGATTAAGTGATTTATAACCAAAATTCACCGGAACTTATATTACTTATTTGCTAATGTAGCACAGAAAATTCTCGATAATAATCAATTAGAACATTGATACTGCTTATTTTATACTACCAAGACACAAAATTTTTTAAAAAAAAATTTAAACCCCTCTAAAGAATAAAAAGCTAATACAAAGAAGAGTAGCACTACTCTTTCAAGTTCTCCATCTAAAAACCAAAATGATGTAAATAAAAAAAAATCGAAAAAATTGGAAAAAAAATAATAAAATAAAATAAAAAGTATTACTTCTTACAATGGTGAAATCTCTAGAATCTTGGAAATAAGAATCTTTTTAGGAATCAGTTTTTTAAGCTTTAGAAAAAAGGCGAACGACATTAATAAAGTTGTACAATGGCGGCTTAGCATTTGACAGATCAGATCAGATCATATTTACATTTATGAATCGAAAAAAATTTTTTTTTTACTGAATTAAAACAAAAAATCTTTAATATCTAATTAAATTCTAGTGATAATCTTTATCTTTCTTTTCTAATATATAATTCTGGAAAGTATATGAAAAGGAGGGAGGTCAACTTCAAGAAAATTATTGGAAACATAATGAATATTCTGAAAATACATAAAATGGATGTGATCATGCCATTTGCAAGTTTTATTGTTTTCTTTATATTAAGTTCATTTTACAAGAAAGCATTTGATTATACTATATAAAAATATTTTAAAGACATTCTAATTCTAAAGAAACTTCTAATTTTTCCTTTATATCTTCCTCTAATACTAAAAAAAAATTAATTGATAAAACACAAATGGTTGGAGAATGCAGGAAAAAACGTAAGGTGCAAAGTAATGTAAACTGCGCCTAGCAAGCTTATAAATACTGCACCTAGTTTGATTAATGAGTTTTAGAATAAGCCATGCTCATTGACCCCTCCTTTGCCACTGAAGCTTGTTGCATTAATGGGCGGTCTCGAGAGATACACCATGCAACGTAGTGCAAGTGCACCCGAGATTAAAAATCTTTGGAAAGGTCAATCAAACATGCTTGACATTTTAGCAGGACTGGTTTGGGCAACCTTTCTGAAGCATATTTGATTCCGTGCGAAAAAAACGCAAAAAAGGAGGATATTAATACCATAACCTATTCACATATAATTATTGGATCAGTTACTTATGGTAACAATATATTGATTTATTTTTTACTTTCCTTCGGTCATTCCGTCACATTTATAACTCCAGAGCCAGTGATCAAACGGTTGTGCAACAAATCCGTATAAATTTGAATCACGATATTCCAACTATAATCAAGTAAAAAAATACTGTAAATCGTATAAACCGCTTATGCAAAACGAATAATAAGCTATAAGAATATTTATTTATTTATTTTTATTTATTAAAAAATTCCTTTCCAGAGAAATAAATTAGTTGAACGAGCAAAAATTAATATATATACAATGTTGAACAATGCATAATAAAATATTATTAATTGCGTATTTTTGATATTTATTTATATTTTGTGATGGGCAAAGAGTTACAGTACGTTCTCGGAAATTATCTTCGTAAATAAACACATACAACTTTTTCCTTATTTATCATGATCGTCAAAATTTGTTTTACAGCATGCGAACCACTCGAATGCAATTCTTAAAAGTGTTTTATCACAATATTTTGTTTAAGTGTAATACAACTGAACGTGCAAGCATTACAACAAGGCTATAAAACTTACCGTTCAAATACAATCCTTAAAAATGCTTTGTTACTTTCCTTCATAATACTAAAACCAAAACCACCATCAAAGCCTTCCAAAAACAATTCGGCCGGTACAAGAATGGATAATAACATTCAAAATCAAGTTGTAGAACGTATGCCGTTTAGAGGTCCAAGACTATCACAGTGGGATCAGAAGCCTGAAAATTGGATCGATGTAATAGTAATGAAATATCATTTGCAAAAGATTATCCAAAAACTTTAAATTGCCATCATGTTGGAAGTCCAGTAGTGCAACTAGTACTAACAGATATTGAAGTTTTCTGTAAGAACGTGTTTTCAGATGGTAGCGTAGACAGACGGGTTATGGAAATAACGTATGTGGAAAAGAATTTTGGGCAAATCAAAATGAAATTAGGTGCCACAAAATACACGAAAAATAGCGATAAATATATGGCCATTTCTCATGTCTGGGGTGATACTGATGGTATCAATTCTGGAAAGTTTTCTGGTCGCAATGTTAGTTCAAAGGTTAAAGCAAAAGCATTATCACAAATATTGCAGTACTCCAGATTACCAATCTGGATAGACCTTATATCTATTGATACGGATAATCATATTAAAGCTAAGCAAGTGGCTACCATGGATTTAGTGTATGCAAGGGCTGAAGTGGTATTAGTATTGTTGGATCCGGAAGACTCAATACGAGTGATAAAAGCAATGGAGGTATGTAAGAGATGGTATAAAGCGGCTCATGGAGAAGATTCACGAGAAGAAATTTGGGAAATGCTTAAAAGTACGGAAGAATTAATCAAAGAACTAGAAACCTCATCTAATGGTTGGTTAAATAGAATATGGACTATGCAAGAAGGGGCATTGGCCAAGAATGTAGTCTTTTATACATACACAGAGTATGGCGATTGTGTACAAGTAGATACATTTTGGCTAAACAGGGAGCGTATACTGGTTTCAGAAAATATGTTAGGAGTAACGATTCTTCAAAAGCAAATGTCTAAATCTCAGGAGCAACGAATGATGTTGAAAGATTTTCAAAAGTTTATGGATTTGGAAAATGTGGTCTGTGGTCTTCAGTGCTTATTAGGAGATGATTTTTGAAGACGAATATTATGAATTTCATGGACATATCACCAACAGACGTTTAGAAGTATTAAAGTATTTGAGTTATCTTCCTAAGAGAAAAGCAAAAGAAGAACGTGATCAATTTTATGCTATGATCGGTTTGTTTAAATGGGCTGGTATTATTGATAGTTACAATGTATCATACGATGTCAAAATGGACGAAATAAAAATAGAGTTTATTGAGTTGTTGGGAGGACCTATAATACCAGGAATATGGGATGGCAAATCTGAGAGCGGATGTTGGCTATCGTCAATAAATGATGGCATGGAAGCATTCAGGCATTCTAAATTTGGTATTAAGCCAGCAGGACAAATACAAAATATACCAACTCTTACTAGATCATTTAATATGAGAGAAATGGTTATTGAAGGACTGGTATGGAATAAACAAATAACAATAGATCCGCAAGGTCATCTTTGTATGGGGGAGTGCATTGGTGGAGATGACCGCCATGCATCAATACATGGTTTGAGTAGGATGATGTTTATGATGACGAAAGCCATCGGAAGTACAAAACTAGCAAATAATTGTGAATATAAGCATAAAATGATTGGATTTAAATGCTCGGATCCTAAACAATGTGATATCATCAAACTTTAGACAATATGCTACAAGTCGCCTGGGACCCAGTTGGTAGTTTGGGTGGAGATATTGCTTGGGTTACGCAACTTAACTATTTAACTTTTGAAAATCACGCTTTCGGATTGAAAAAGGAAACATTTATTCAAATGCAAAGGTGGTGGAAACAAGGGTTTAAAGGTACGATCGTGAGCTTGTCTCTTGGTAAGAGCGTTCTTGGTCGTGAATGGCATGATAGTATTGTTTTCGTACAATCGGAAAACAAGTGTATATGTGCTGGAAATGGATTAATTCCTGGAAATGCATTAGTAAAAACAATTATTAAATGCAATTGATCATAGGACTGCCTAAAAACAACAGTTTGAACCTAATTAATTTATTTTTGTAATTTAATGACCGAGTCAAAGATCATTTTTATTGTCCCAAAATATATATTTGTAATCCCTTTATCATACGTTCTATGTCGATCATGACATTTATATAGATGTCGATCAGTTGATCGACATAATTATATGCTTTTTCGCACAAGTCGTTCGTTCACTTCTCAAAAACATTTTTGTAAGTTTTAAATTTAAACGGTTCGATAGTTTAAGAAGATCTCTCAGTGTTGTCTAATATGAAAAGTATATTGAACTGGCGTTTGTAATTTTGTCATTTTTTTTTGGTTTTAAAAAAAGCTTTTCTTCTATTATTTAAAAATATAATACTAAAATAAAAAATTTCTAGTATAATTATTTCATATTTTATTATAATAGAATATAAAAAGTACAGAAAGTACAGAAATAGAATAAGATATAAGTATATTATAAACAATAGAAATAAAAAAAATCTGCTTTATCTGCTTGTACAATAATTGATAATATTGATGAAGAGATAAAATATTATGAAGAAAAGAAAATTTATGTAAATTATAGTAATTAATTAAAATGTGACAATTAAATAAATCAATAATTAAAGATGTGAAAAAATTTAAATAAATTAAAAGTTTGTTATAATCATTTTATGTTTGATCAAAATTAATTACATTCAAAAGGTATTAAACAATTAAAAGATATTTCAGAAAGTTTAATACATCTTAGATATTATTTATATTGTAAAATTAATTATTATTTTTTTAGTCATAGTAAATTTTACATAGATCAATCTTGAAAATTAGCAGGAAAATTTATACAAATTCTTTATATAAGTCAAAAAAAAAAAATTGCAAAATATTAAAAGAAAATATGAATAATATTTAATTACTTTATTAAAACTAATAAATAAATAGATTAAATTAATTGCTTAAGGAAATAATATACAAATTATAATTAAATAATTTAAATTCTATTATATTTAGGATTAGATCAGTCTGATCCAGTCTGGTTTAAAAAGACTGATCTTTCATTTTTCTTAGGATTTGACCAGTCCATAAGTCAGTCCTAGGACTAGTTCATAAATTAATTCCAGGACCAGTCTTATATTATTTGATCCTACCAGCTTAGTATAGTTTAAATATTATTTTCTTTTCTGTTCAGACCGATTTATAAGACTAAATCCTTAATATTATAATATTAAAGGTTTAATTTTATAGAAGACTAAAATAAAATTATTATTATTATAAATGAATACAAATATAAAAATTATATAACTAAATAAAAGTGTTTAAAACTGTATAATTATTACTCATAAATATAGAGTTGGATTAGTTCTAAGACCAGTCTCAGTTCTACTAGTTTAATCCAGTTTAAGATTTGTTTTCTTCTCAATCCAGATTGATTTATAAGAATAGTCTAAGGATCGCTATAGAATATATTAGAAATAAATATTCATCTAATATATAAATTTTTAATGATATATAAAAAGTATAATAATAATTACATATAAATAATTACAGCATCTTCTTAATCTCGTTATTTTTTCATTTCTATTTAGAACATTATCATTATAGTAAAATGTTAGGACAGGTCTAAGGACTTATAGATCAGTCTATTCCATAAGAGAGATGAAAACTGAATCAGGTCGAACTAACTATAATTTTGTAATATTTTATAAATAAAATAAGTATTTTATAATATTAATCCTTAATTTAATATATGCTATAAATAATAAAGAATCAGTCTAGTCTGGTCTGATCCTCAGAATAAGAATCAAAGATCATAAAGACTGGTCCTATTAACCAGTTTAAGACTAGTCTTATTAGGACTGATCCATCTCTAAATTATATTAGCTTTACAAATTTTAATTCTATTAATAAGTAAATAGATACTATTATATTATTTTAAACATTGTCTCAAATAATTTTATTTTAAATATAATTAATTATATTGGATCATAATTGTATTCATTTATTTGTGCTTACTTTTAAAAAAATGTTTCTGCAATACATGTTTTATTTTGTAAATATATAAAATTACCATTATTATTTTCAATTTTTATAAATATAAAATCTATCGCTATCAGTTTTTTATAAATATAAAATCTATCGCCATCAGTTTTTTAAATACATAAAACTAATTTTAATAAGTGAAGTATATTATCTAATATAACTCTCAATTAGAACTTGAAAATACTTATGATAACTTCTTAAATAATAAAAAACATATTTTTAAATAAAATAAGAATATTTACTTTATTTGAAATAAACTTAGACGATTTGCAAATAGGAAGCATATTCATTGCAATCTGTGTCAAGCTCATTATGGAAACTAACTTTAACCATTAATTTCAATTCCTCAACATGTTAAATATTATATTCTCATGATGGAAAAAAATCAAAGCATTAAATGGTCTTTTACTTTATTGAATAATTTATTAAGTATGATTGACAATGAGAATTTTCAAAAATTAATTTCAATTTTGGATAGATCCATATGCAAAGAAACTTTCCTTTTCAAATAATCTAATTATTAATAATCTATAATAGTTTTTTTTGTAATTATTATAATTTTTACTAAAGCTTAAGAAGAAATATTACACCATTTTGATATCAATACTAGAACATTAAAAAAAATTGAGTATATTTAATTTTAAAAAACTATTATAGTTTAATAATTTATTTATAATTTTTACAATTCAAACCTTAGACACTATCTTTCTGATACATGAGTAGTATTATTGATCATATTAGTAGCTTAATATCTTCATGTGTGATCAAATTTACAGGATCAGACTATGCATTCAGAAGCTGTTTCAATATAATAATATCATCATTACTCTATTTATTCAAGCAATGATATATAGACTTATCCAATCCAAATATAAATAGACAATATTGTTCCCATATTCTTTAAGTAATAACCTCTTTTTTGATCTTGTGTTTGAATTTAGCAAACTATCAATATTGAGTAATCGCAATTCTGGTATTAAAGCATCCAGCTGAAGGTATAAAGATAAGTATAGGTTGCCTTTTTTCCTGTAATCCTATCTTTGAAAATAAACTCTTTTGAGAGTTTATATATGACCGAAGTAGATCAATCATTATTGTAAAACTGATTCTAATTTTTGATTTGAATTAGAAAATAAGACATTGAATCAAGTAATATAAGATTAGAACTATCCCAATTTAACAATACTAAAAGTATCAACTTTATTTCTACTTAGTTATGCTTATAAATCACAGCTGCAAAATAAATGAATAAACTCTTCAATTCTATCTGGATTGGGATATAAGTAAGCAGAATAAAGTGCGTAAATGCGAATAAACTATTAGCAAACTTTTGAGAGAGGTTTAGAATATTAATATTATAATTCTCCTAACTAAAAAGAGATATCAAGAAATCCTCTATTCTAATCAGCTGTAAAACAAACTTCCTTGTTTATTCTAAGTTTTAAGTGCAATAATGTTAATGATGATAATGATTCTCTACTCACAGTAGCTTGATCCTAAGTAATCACCAAAAGTAGATGGGTGACCAACTCTTCGAATAGCCAGGTTTTACATATCCAGTGTATAATATATCTAGTAAAAAGCTGAGTAATTTTCTGAATACATTTTTATATCACATAAGCGATGCAGCAGCCTCAGCGAGTATCAGTTTAAATGAATAGAATGTATATATTCTATGTTAATCCTCTGAAATATGAATGCATATTCCCATAAATTCAGTAAGTAATGCGTAACTCAGCTATGATATCAAATGAAAAACAGGATGATAAAATAGCAAGAGCAAAAGAGGAAGTTAATTTTCTAAGTCAGTCATATATAATTATACCTTCACCTAAGAGTTTTTGTTCTGCCACTATCAAAAGTTCTTTGATATTAGCATCATTATTCAAAGCTGCATCCCATAAAGGTTGTCTTAAAGCAAACAATTCTTGTAAGTTTAATAGTCAATTCAAATTTGAGTTTGTTTTAGTAAATAAATCAAATATAGCCATAAAATAAAATAGTAAGAAAAGTTCATTCTGATGTAAATATAATTGAACTGAAATATTCAAAGATGTAGAAGGTTTAAAGTTAGTTAGATTCAAACTAGTATCAGTGAATACGATAAAAATTTCTGAAGAAAAACAACGTAAGACTCAACAAATGTGAATAAAAAGACTTTCTCTTGAAGATGATGTCTTTAGCAAAGATCGTAATTTATTAAATGTGAATATAAATTTTGCTTTTGTTTTAGCAGTCTTCAATAAGCAGGTTTCAAAATTTCTCCAAATTTCTTCAAGTTCACTTGCATAAAACTGTTCTACATCATCTTGATTTTCTGCCTGATTCAATTCATTTATACTTACCTTTTAGGATTCTACTAAATAGATAGTTTTAGTTATAATATTCAATTTAAATATTTTATTAGAGTGCTGTAGATTATTCTAATATTAAATGGTCTTTTTGTCAAGAAATCTATGCAGCTATAAAAAATGCTACTGTGTTAACTATTTTATTTTCCTTTTGTAAAAAAGTAATTATGAAAAAGATCTGTTAATAGTAAAACTCCTGAGCTAAAATGCTCACAAAAGTATAAGTATATAAAATAGTAGTTCATATAAGCTAATAAAGAAGTCTAGATTTTTCAGTTCTAGATTCTTAGAAAAGAACAGTATATGATGCATAATAAATATGATGTTAAGCATTTTTCTATTTATCTGTACAGTTGTCAATATGTTTTCAAAAATCTGTGAGATATCGTAATTATCTTTATATAGTATTTGCTGATACCATATGAAGTCAATCCTACTGCATTACAAAGATTGACAAATGATCAATATTATTAATATTATTAGCATTTTTAACTTAGTTAACATTTTTATTTTATTTATTTTATTCTTATATTTTATTATTATTATTTATTA